TCCTATTATCATGGTCCTAGTAGGATCCTATTATCATGGTCCTAGTAGGATCCTATTATTATGGTCCTAGTAGGATCCTGTTATTATGTTCCTAGTAGGATCCTATTATCATGGTCCTAGTAGGATCCTGTTATCATGGTCCTAGTAGGATCCTATTATCATGGTCCTAGTAGGATCCTGTTATCATAGTCCTAGTAGGATCCTATTATTATGGTCCAAGTAGGATCCTGTTATTATGTTCCTAGTAGGATCCTATTATCATGGTCCTAGTAGGATCCTGTTATTATGGTCCTTGTAGGATCCTATTATCATGGTCCTAGTAGGATCCTGTCATTATGGTCCATGTAGATCCTGTAACCATGGTCCACGTAGGATCCTATCATCATGATCCACGTAGAATCCCATCATTGTGGTCCATGTAGATCCTGTAACCATGGTCCACGTAGGATCCTATCATCATGGTCCACGTAGAATTATGTTATATAAATATTGTATAATTTTGACATATCCTACATAAATATAGTGGAATTGTTACCCCATACATGTGATTATTGTGTGCACCATAACCTATTCATAAATATTGTACAAAAGTAGTAAACTGTTAATTAATTGTTTAAAAATTTCACGTGTCAAATATATTCCGACCACAACTTATAAACCGTGACCAGCACGCAGATTGAATATATTTGCTTATATTTACATCGTATGAGAGAGAACCAATGATTGCTTAACACCGAACCTGTTATTTTCCTCCAGCATATTATATGCAGTGTTGGAAGTTAGCTGGAGGGTATTTTTCAAGTTTTAAGCGCGTTGTCGGAAGCTTGCCAGCAACTTTAAAATGCACTAAAATTTGAGGTCAAAATGAAATCTGTCCTTCAGTTTTTTTTTTTTTTGTTTTACTTTCAATACAATGAAATAGTTGTTCATTTTTATCAGACTGAAAAGATAAAGTTACATATACCGAGGACTGTCAGTGTAATACATATACACAAAATTATACAAGGGTTTCGTTCTCATTACACGCTTATTTACTAATGTTAACTTTATAGAATACATACCAGAAATATTCTAATAACAATTTGAAAACAAGTGTTAGTACATTTCTGGTGTACTGGAAACGTACTAGTGTTTGATGTATCATTAAGGCCCGGAATGGCGATGTGGTTAGGGAGCTCGACTCGCAATCTGAGAGTCGAGGGTTCGAATCGCCGTCCCACCAAACATGCTCGCCCTTTCAGCCGTGGGGGCGTTATAATGTTACGGTCAATTCCATTATTCGTTGGTAAAAGAGTAGCCCAAGAGTTGGCGGTGGGTGGTGATGACTAGCTGCCTTCCCTCCAGTCTTACAGTGCTAAATTTGGGACGGCTAGCGAAGATAGCTCTCGTGTAGCTTTGCGCGAAATTCAAAAAACAAACAGTGTATCATTAATTATTTAAGAGAACGTTTCGATTCTGCACAGAAACGGAGTGTTATTTGGAACTATAAGTATAAGTACATATATATACTTGGATCAGGGGATCTAGCCCCGTGCCTCTCGCACATGAAACTACCTGGTTCCAATATTGTGGTGTGCCTCCTGGGGAACTAAAGAGTTAATCCTCTAGCAACTGGACTTTTTAACAACTTAAAGTACTTGGCTACGATAAATATGTTATTGAAAATAAAGGAAAAATAAAATACATATTGAATCTTTTTATAAAATTTTGGGGAAGCAAGTAACCCGATTTACAGTAACCAGGGAAGCATGGTCGCAAGTAACCCGATTTACAGTAACCAGGGAAGCATGGTCGCAAGTAACCCGATTTACAGTAACCAGGGAAGCATGGTCGCAAGTAACCAGATTTACAGTAACCAGGGAAGCATGGTCGCAAGTAACTCGATTTACAGTAACCAGGGAAGCATGGTCGCAAGAAGTTTTTACAGTAACCCGATTGTACATAAACACATTATATTTTCAGGTAGCAGACAACCACTACAGTTACTAATAACAGTTCAGTTTTTACAGTAACCTGATTGTACATAAAACACATTATATTTTCAGGTAGCAGTCAACCACTACAGTTACCAGTAACAGTTCAGATGTACAATCAGGTTACTGTAAAAAAAACTACATTATATTTTCAGGTAGCAGTCAACCCCTCTGTGAACCCCCCACTGGTTCAATAAACTCCTCTGCGAACCTCCACTTATTCTGTAGACCCATCAGTGAACCATACTTATTCCAACTTGTCCAATATGCCCCTCAAAATGCAAGTGTAATAAGACAACAATTCACAACTCCAAAACCAATGCTAGCCAGATTGTTTTAAGCAAGTTTCTTTTAAAATCAGAATAGATATCTTAGAAATGTATACGTTGACTTACTAAAGGACCTTGGGCCTTTGGACGACACCAAAACATGACGACCTTAAACCAGTTTTACAAGTTAAATTTCCGTCTTTATATTTCAGTAGTGAGCAAAAAAAGTACGTACTTGCATGAGATACCGAAAATAATTTATTTTACAGTTACAAATAGTTAATAAAAAAAACATTATTAATGAACAATGAATTAGCTAATAGGTTTTCTCGCCAACGTTTTGAAATAGACCCTAGATAAATTAAATAAAACGTTACAAATGGAATTATATATGTATGTGTACAACTATTAAATCATAGACACAAAACATTTAAGTGAAAGTCAACTCAAAACTGGATGGAGATCGTTTTAGTCCAGAAACTTGTTGTTAAGAAAACGTTTTAAATAGGTTTGTGTCTTTTCAGTCGTAGTTGGTCTGTTTACAGAAATTATACAGATAGGTTTGTGTATTTTAATCTTTATTGGTCCATTTACAGAGACTCACCCATCACAGCGTCCAATAACAAGCTTCTTCCAACATAAATCTATAATAAGACGTATCTTATTCACAGATCGTGTAAGCAGTATAGTTTGATTTATAAAACATAATATACTCCAAATAATTGTAAAACATTTTTTTTTTTACATACAATAAAACACAGACTGGAGTAGCTAACATTATACTGTTTTCAATAAATCATGGACATTAACTTTGTTTAAATACAGTTAAACTTAACGAATAAGATAAAGAAAGTTTCTAGACATTTGTTGGTTAAATGAAACTGTTTAACAGACAAGGTAAGGCGGAAACAAATTTGAATCATAGGTTTGTCTTCAGGTGAAACAAAAAAAGAATAGCTTACAAGATGCTTAAAAAACTGTTACAACATTTAACACCTTAACAAAACCATGCATGTACAAGCAGATATTAATTGCTACAATATTTAACACTTTAACAAAACCATGCATGTACAAGCAGATATCATCTGTTACAATATTTAACACTTTAACAAAACCATGCATGTACAAGCAGATATTAATTGCTACAATATTTAACACTTTAACAAAACCATGCATATACAAGCAGATATCAACTGTTACAATATTTAACACCTTAACAAAACCATGCATGTACAGGCAGATATTAACTCCTACAATATTTAACACTTTAACAAAACCATGCATGTACAAGCAGATATTAACTGTTACAATATTTAACCCCTTAACAAAACCATGCACGTACAGGCAGATATTAATTGTTACAACATTTAACACCTTAACAAAACCATGCATGTTCAAGCAGATATTAACTGTTACAAAATTTAACCCCTTAACAAAACCATGCACGTACAGGCAGATATTAATTGTT